CCCCCCCCCCCGGGCATCAGCACATCGGCAGGCTGCTGCAACGTCCTGCATGCTCTGTGTCTGGTCGCATGTATAGCCAGGACGTGGTTGCTTCACGACGCTGGCGCCTCGGCGGCCAGCGTCGTGTCCAGGTGCCTGGGACGGAGGGGCTTGCCTGCATGGAGCCCGCGCCTTCTGCCGGACCCCTCCGGCCGGGGGCCTCCGTCATTTCTTCACCCACAGGGTTGTTACCTGACATCGGTAACTCACGCCCTTGGGCGGAGGACAGCTTAATCGATGTAGGCGCACGTGATACGGAGGTTTGATCGACACGCCCCGCCGCGCTCCTTCTCGGGGCGGCTGGCGAGCGACCCGGTCGCCCAACCCACCCCCGTGCCGTCGGGAACCGGCTGGCCGGGGGCTGAGAAGACGCGGGGAGGGCCCAAGTACCGGGGGGGGGGGGGGGACATTTTGCCGCGGGGAAGCCGGACGATTCCTGGCCTTTCCGGTGCGGGCTGAGATCTCTCTCCAGGGGGGGGGGGGGGGGGGGGGCTTTTCGCGCCCAAATGGGCATCGGCCGGTGCTTCTCCCCGAGGCTCGTGCTCGGGGCCGCGCGGCCACGGACGCGAGCGGAGGCCCTGCGATCGGCCGCAGGGGCCACCCTCTCTGCCGAGGCACCCGGGCAGGCTGATGTGGCTTGGGTTGTTTTCCTTTTCGGCTGGCCTGCAAGTGTGCCGGTGACCCGGTGCCACCGGGCTCCACCATCCCTCCCATCTTCCATCTTCCCTTTCTCCTTTGCTTCCTCCTTTGCTTCCCCCTTTCTCCTCGCAACTCCCCCCACCCCCCTTTCTCTGCCCCCGCCGTCCTCACGCGTTCCCCTGCGGCGCCCGGCATGCAGGCGCCCATCCCGCGCGCCCCCTCCGGGCACACGTCGTGCGACACGATTGCCTTGCATAAGCGCCACTATGATCTGGGAATCCAGGAATGCATGGGCGCTGTACGGATAGATGAGACCGGCACCCAGCCGCTGGTGGCCATCGAAAAGTACCGGATCGCTTGTCAGCACTGGCATCAGGCCTTGCAGATGCGGCCCTTCTTCACCGAGGCCGAATGGTATGTCCCGCTCACCGACGACTTTTGCTCCGTCCCCTTGTCTGTTTGCACCCGTGTCTTGCTGACACCCAAAATGTCTCCCTCTGTGTCCCTCTGTGTCCCTCTGTATCCCTCTGTGTCCCTCTGTCTCCCTCTGCCTCTCTCTCTCTCCCCCCCTCTCCCCCCCTCTCCCCCCCTCTCCACCTCTCTCCACCTCCCCCCCGGGACCGCGACGTACATAGGCAAAATGTGGCGGACCTGGACAGGCGAATCAGTTCCAACTTTCAGCAAACCCTGGACCGACTCTTCTTCCTGGAGGCCCGCCATCTGAATCAGAAATCCACGCACCTGGGCCGAGATATCCCCCCTCTGCCGGACTTCGGCGCCGGGCCCGCGACCCGCCGATCGATCGACACCTATGACGATGGTGAGCCGGTGGTGGATTTCATCACCGCGGCCACCGACTACATCGGCAGCTTCTTTGGGTTCTCCCCGGCTGCGGCCACCTCGAGTGCCGCGCCCGCGGCGGCGCCCACGCCCGGCGCGGTTGCCACAGCGCCCGCGGGGAACCCCCCCCGTGCCGCCATCTCGGCTCGCTCGGTGGCCCCGGCCACACGCGCCTCCCTCCCGCCGGCCCAAGCCCCCAGAGGCGAGACCCTTCCCCCGCACCTCCCGGCCAACCTCCCCTTCCCCGGGCGGGCATCCACGAATGTGCCCCCCTCGGCCGCACCGGCCCCCATGGCCCGGGGGTCGGTCACTTCCCGGGCAGCCGGTGCCGGGGCCAGCTCCGCCCTGGCCGGCATCGACCCGCAGCTGGCCAACTCCATCCTGGATGATGTGATCACGCCGGGCAGTGCGCGCGACAATGGCCCGGCCTGGGACGACATCGCCGGGCTGGCCAACGCCAAGCAGGCTCTGCATGAGGCGGTCATCCTGCCGGCCCTGCGGCCGGACCTCTTTTCCGGCCTCCGGGCGCCGGTCAGTGGGATTCTCCTCTTCGGCCCGCCCGGGACCGGGAAAACCCTGCTGGCACGGGCATGCGCCTCGCAAGCGCGGTGCACCTTTTTCAACATCTCGGCCGCCTCGCTGACGGCCAAATATGTGCGGCCTTCCCCCCCCCCCCCCCCCCCCCCCACTTCTCCTCGCCCTCTCCCCTGCTCTGGCCCTCCCTTCCTTTCGTTGATTCTCCAATGCTGACTCTCGCCGGCCCGGCCACCGATGTGCTCGGGTCCATGGGATTGCAGGTCGGCGACTCGGAAAAGCGCGTGCGGGCTCTCTTTGCCCTGGCGCGGGAGCTGGCGCCATCGATCATCTTCGTGGACGAAATTGACTCCATTCTGTCCGAGCGATCGGACAATGAGCATGAGGCGGCGCGGCGGCTGAAGACCGAGTTCCTCATCCAGTTTGATGGGGTGGTTTCCAACTCGGACCCGGCCGCACCGCGGGTTCTGGTTTTGGCGGCCACCAATCGCCCCGGCGAGTTGGACCAGGCCGTTCGTCGTCGTCTTGTACGCTGCCTCACTCGGCCCTGTCCCTGTCTTTTTTTCCCCCTCCTGCGGCCGGGCTTTTCCTCCTGTGGGGCCGGTCCTCAGGCGGGCATGGGCTGCTGCTGACATCCTTCTTCTTTGGACCCCGCCCCCCCCCC